TTGCCTGCCTTTGGACCCTTTTCCCCTAACTGGACTGCCTTGTCTAGACTCAATAAGAGAGGTGCCTAGTCCTGCTGCAACTTGATGCCAAGTGGGTTTATATTCATGGGAGGCCTCCCTTTCTCTGAGAAGAAAGAGAGAGGGGCATGGTGGGGGAGGGTAGAAGGATATGGGAGGAGACAGGGAAGGGAAGCTGCGGTTGGGGTGTAAATAAATTAATTAATAAAAAATTAAAAAAATTCTTCTGAGGCTGGACATGGTGGCATATACCTTTGATTTCAGCAGTTGAGAGGAAGCAAAGACAGGCCCATCTCTGAGTTTGAAGCCAGCCTGGTCTATAAATTGAGTCCAGGACTGCCAGGGCTATTACACAGAGAAACCCTATCTTGAAAAACAAAAGACCAAACAAACAAGCAACATCAAACCAAACCATTCTTCTGACAGATTCTTTTAAAAACAATTACATGTGTGTGTGTGTGTGTGTGCGCCTGTGTGGGTTGTGGGCTGGAGAAATGGCTCAACAGTTAACAATTAACAGCGCTTGCTATTCTTTGGAGGACCCACCTGTGTTGGCTTTCCAGAATCCACACCTGTAATGTCAGTTCTGGGAGATCCAAAGCCCTCTTCTGGCTTCCATAGGCTTCTGAATGCATATGATACACATAAACTCACACAGAGACATTAAAACAAAACAAAAGAAAAAAAACCCCAAATAAAAACAATAAAAAGACCCCTTAAAGAAAGATTTAATTAGCATTGGGCAAGGCTAATACATTACCACAGCTCCAAATCAAGACTGCATTGCTCTAACAAAATTCCTGAGGGTGGAGATTTCTAAGACTGGTGGCTACAGTTTAAGTAACATGGTGACAGCATCCTGGAGAGGGCCACCTAGCCTCATCTCAACAGGATGGAAAACAGAAAGTGAGTCAGTGGTTGTGTACAAAAAAACCATGGCATGGAGCCCCCCAACACACTTTGTAATAAGCCATTCTGGGGGTTCTAGTTTAGTCTGACAAGAGCTGTGACTCACGAGGGAGAGGCACTTGATGGTTTGGAAGTAGGATATCTCCCACAGTCTCACAGGGCTGCTCAGGAAACTTGTAGAACTTTCTGGACATACAGCTTAGCTGGCAGACACAGGTTGGTACAGATGGGTGGGGCTCGAGGCTTTAGTTTACTGACTAGATGGGAAGAACCCATTTACCGCACCTTCCTGCAGCCACAAGCCTTCCCTGCCTTGGTGGACTAAATTGCTCTCTGAGGCAGGAGCCACAAAAATCCGTTCCCTCTCTTAATTGTCTTTTAGGGATTCTGTCACTGACAAGAAAAGGAAACCCGCACCTAATCACTTCCCATAGGCCCCATTTCCTAAGGGTCCCACCATCTCCCAACCTTGCCATACTGGGGACAAAACTTCCAAAACAAACATAGAGGATGCATTTATACAATATCCAGCCACAGAGGTTCTGCCCGCTTGACAGATAATAAACAGGCATCAAAGTTAACTTTACGGGATATCTCTGGTATGAAGGAATTAAAGCAGGATCATCAGAAGAGAGGCAGAGAACCTGTGTCAACAGGTCTCATTTGAGACCTGATCAGACCACGGAACCACAGTCTACAAAAGCCTGGTCCAGCAGAAGGAATGACTTACGCAGAACCTAGGGGGCAACAGAAGCAAGACTGACAGTAGAAGTGTGTGAGACTGGGTGATTGCCGGGAGGGTGTATGTGTGTGGGGGTGGTGGTGGTGGTGGGGTGTGTGTGAGGGTGGGTCTTCCCAGGGTGGCAACACAGCCTATCTCAATGCTTTCTTTAAATTAGATAAAATCTGACCAACATCAGCTAGAAGCCTCTGTCACCTATTGGGGGATTCACTAGGCTGGGCTGCCGTTTACTTCCAGGAAGGGATTTCACTGAGAAAGGGCAATGCAGCAGCTCAGGGAAATGCCTGCCTATAAGCCCCAGCCATGTTAGTGGAGAGCATTTTGAGACGAGGCCACAGAGATGAGATCTCTTCCCAGCTTCCAGTACCTTCTTCCTTCCAGCAGAGTACCTGAAGCAGGAAATGTCTCTGAAAACAAAAGCCTGGTTGTCCTTCATTGCTCTGACTTCCCACAGGGTAACTCTAGGCTCTCTGAGGCCCAGGGGCACAAAGGCCTTCTTATTTCCTGGAGAAGGGGCCAGGCACTACCTTCACAGGTGTGTCAGATAGAGCTGGCTGTACCAGGAAGATATAGGGGCAGGTCACATGTCACACAATCATCCTGCCATATAGTGCGGTGGCTGTGACTAGCCTCAGTGGCGTCTCCAAATCCAGTAAGGGGAAGTTTTGTCTCTCTGGCCAGCAGATACGGGTCTCCAGTTTCCAAAGATCCAGCCTGAAAACTCCCCAGACCCCAGTGCCAGCAGTGGAAAGGAGGCTTTCTCTGTGCACCTCTAAACTGACACATCTCCTTATCAAAGCCAAAGCTGCAGGTTAAAAGGAGAGGGTGGCTTATGCCTCTGGGCCTAGTGACTCAAGAAGGCTAGGGCCAGGTCACTTGAGCCTAGGAGTTTAAGACCAGCCTAGACAATAAAATCAGACTGCCTCAAAACTTAAACAAGCCGAAGACAATACTGTAATAGTTTGAGTCACAGATCTAATTGACTTTTATTAGGTGTCTATCAACCGGGGTGTGTCCTTTACAAAACATTGAGAACTCCCACCAAAACAGTGGGCTTTGAAAATTTAGAATAAGGAAATGGCATAGAAAAAAACAAAACAAAAAAAAAACTTGACTGGTTACAATCTGTTGCATCTAGTTATTTTTTGGTAAAGATTAAAGCAGGCGGCCTTTCTTATGCTCAGGCAGACTAGAGTCTGCTTTTGCAGGAAAAACTGGTCTCTCAGGGGATTTACCAGATTCCTTAAGGTTTGATTCTGGGGCATGGGGTATGAGAGACTATTTTGTTCTGGTTGTTGCTGCAGAAGCTTCGGGCAAAATAATGGCCTTCCATCATTTTTGGCTAACATTGTTTCCTTTTTATTGGTTAGGAAAACAATAAAAATGTTAAGAGACCCACAATTCCTAAAACACCTCCCTCACAACCCTGGACTACAACCCCCATCCCCATTTCCACCCTCTGGTAATAGAGATGACTACCAGGCTTGCTGCCTGTGAACAGTTCTATAGGTGATTGGATACAGGAAGAATATACATTCTCGGTGCTACTTAGCCTCATAACAAACTGGATTCTGCATCTCCATGGGTGCAAGGGAATATTATGTAACATGAGGTAAACTCAGAAAACAAGCACTGTATGTCACGTGGAGGCAGCGGATTGGAGCTGGAGCTGTGTCTCCAGAGGCTGGGAAGCAAGGGGTTCAAAAGCACGAGAGGACCATCAAGGTGTGTAACAGTACAGGTGGGTGGGGCTCACTGCTGGCACAGGTAGATGGGGCTCACTGCTAGTTTTCCATAGCTCAGCAGGAGAATCGATGTTGGCAAGAACTAACAGAATTTAAAGAAGTAGTTAGTACAGTTTTCGTTAATACTCATGACACAAAAGATCAATGAGGTGACAGACGTGTACGTGTGTGATCATTACACACTGTATACATGTCACACTGAAAGGTCACACTGTACTTGACAAATATGCCTAATTACTATGTAATTGGTTTAAAAAAATATAACCTATCTTGTCTTATCATGGAGCTTGCTATGTAGACCATGCTGGCCTTGAACTCAGACTGTAACAACTTTCCTAACAAGGATCCTGTCTTTCCTCAATCTCTAACTCCCAGCCTCATCTGCTCATCTTTTCTCTTCAGTACAACATCCTCTACACACCAATTCACGACACTCATTTGTTCTCTGACGTGGCATAGATTTTACTATGTGTGGTGGTTTGAATGAGAATGGCCTTCGTGGGCTCATATACCTGAATGTTTGGTTCCCAGTTGAGGGACTACTTAGAAAGGATTAGGAGTTGTGGTATTATTGGAGGTGTGACGCTGGGGGTGGATTTTAAAGTTTCAAAAGCCCACACCAACGTGTTGCTGTTTTGAGGTAAACCCACCAGAGACCACCACTTGGACAGTCCTAAAACCAAATACAAAGTCTTTACTGTTGGCCTGTGGCTGCACAGGGAACTTGTTTAAACTATGCAGCCCAGGCCTTTTTATTTTTTATTCACAAAAACCCATATCCTGGTTGGCACATTTCAGTTAGCAAGAAGCAGAACTACAGAAGCAAAACTACAGGGTTAGTATGTATAGGAATTTCACTCGAGGCCTTGTCCATCACATCCTGGGTCCACTGACACAGCCTTCGATCCTGCTTTGGCAGGTGGGCTAGGTCTTTGCTCCTGTTTTGGTAGGTGGTGTTGCTATGTGTTGGACTTCAAGGCCTGAAGGTGTTTCTATCATGACATCTGATGTGCTAAGTCTGTGAATCAACACTCAGCTACTGCTCCAGCACCATGCCTGCCTACCCACTGCCCCATCCCCACCATGATGACCAGGGGCTAACCTCAGAACTGTAAATTGGGCCTTCAATTAAGTGCTTTCTTCATAAGCTGCCTTGGTTGTGGTGTCTCTTCACAGCAATACGACAGTGAAACACATGACAGTACACTGCTAAGGGAGAGCTAGGAAAGTCACCTTCCCACACCCCTTTCGTCTTTCCAACTCCAATCAGGAGGACTGTTCAGTCTTTGGCACTGCAATACAACATCAGCACCTACAAATGTGCTGGGCCACACTCATGGCTGCCTGTCACATGACACACCTGTCAGGTGTGCCAGCTAGATCACTCTGTAAGGCAGCTGCTGTCATGGCCCTGAAGCAGCAGAAAGGTAAAACATTTGTTTCACACTTGTATGAGCCAGTCTAGCAGACTCTGTGGGGACATCCTGTAAGGGAAAAGTGTTAACACCACAGTCAGTGTTCTCTACTGAAATTAATAAAAAACACAACTCACAGTCATTTCTATTTTTTATTAAAATACTTTTTTTTTTTTTTACTACAGAGACAATCAATGGAAATGTATACAATTACATATATAAGTTGTCAGTCATGTTAAATGCAATCAACATAGACTCTTGGAAATGAACAAAGTCTTTAAAGTTTTTAAAAGATGCTAAGTACAGACCTTTAACCTGTAGCCCATCCTCAGCATCTCATTTGTCAGAGTTTTACTTTCTTCTTTTCTATTTTGATGCTTTTTTAAAATTACAAATATTTGTTCAAATATACTAATAACAATGTTATCTTCTGAAACTTCACAAGTTATACTTTGGTGTGACCCCTTTCATAGCACCCTGTGTAAACAAACAGTACATTTTACTTGAATTTGTTTTGCTTTTGTACCTTAATTATGAATAAACTAAGTCCTAATTAAATATTATGGGGAAAACATTGTTTTCTCATAAATGTTATGAGAAAAACCTGTCCATAAGCCCATGTCTTGCTATAGGGAAGTATGTACATAATAAGTTTAATGACAACCTCTGATTCACAAGCTAGTGTTTGTCTCTTGTTGGTACTCAGGGTGGACCTGAGGGTGGACCTGGGGTTGCACTGTGACAGGCGAGAGCCCCATGATGGGTGAGAACCTCATCACCAGGCTTCAACCTCAGCCCTTAAAATCTAGCGTTTTTGGATCCGGCTATAAGAAAACAAGATCATTTTTTGTTTGTTTGTTTTTCAAGACAGGGTTTCTCTGTATAGCCCAGGCTGTCCTGGAATTCACTCTGTAGATCAGACTGGTCTCAATCTCAGAAATCCACCTGCCTCTGCTTCCCAAGTGCTGGGATTAAAGGCGTGAGCCACCACTGCCCAGCTAAGATCATTTTTTATTGAGAAGGAAACATAAACCATTACAAAATCTTCAATAAGGGAGTGTAATTGCTACAATGGTGTGGAAGGTCTAGACTCAGTGAGACCACTAGCTTCTAAAATATTTTATTTCAATTTAGGAAAAAAAACACTGCTCAAAACACTGAGCACAGGACTTGTGCTTTCTGAGGCAGTGACTTGCTATGGACCCTGGGCTGGCTTTGATCCTCTGATCATCTTGTTCGGCCTCTCTGTGGTGGGAGTGCAAACCTGTCAGGTAATGGGTACTAGTTCTTCAAGGCCTTGGCAAATCAGGAGAAACACACAAAATATGAATATACAATTTATCTCAGTGGGGATCATTTCTAATGGGAAAAACAGGGCAATAAAAATGTTAAAGCAAATGGTTTAAAAGATTGTTCATAGAAAATGTATAGGGTAAAAAAGATACACTATAGTTTAAATTTTAATAATGAAAAGTTTTAAAAAGATGGTGATATATTTTAATAATGTTTATGGCCCTCATTAAGAAAACATGAGGATAGCCAGCCTGGTCTACATAGCAAATTCCAGGCCAGCCAAGGCTCCACAGAGAGATCCTATCTCAAACAAAACCATGATAGCAACAACAAAACAAGCAAACAAACAAACAAAGAAAACTCGAGACATACTGCCAGAAACCATCAAAGCATTCTTTCATCATAGTATAAACTTTCATGAGAATCAGCAGCTGAAATGGAGCAGCTAGCTGTGGTCCTTCAAAACTCCTCCTGATTTCAAGAAAACCCACAGCCCTGTGGGAGCTAAGAAGGTAGGAGCTGAAATGTTTCCAAGGCACCTTTAAAGAGAAGAACTCTAGGTAAAAGTGAGAGCACACCTTGATGTTTAATAATCACATACATCTACATTCTAAGTTGGCTTCTTAGAAGGCTGGAATACCTTGAGTATTTGTCAGCTATTGGAAAGAGCATGGTTTATAATGGATAGCTATGATACCAGAAATGATCTCGTAACTAACTACTTTTCAAATAAGGATACAAAATGTGTTTAAGAACATTTTCTATTTTATGTACTAAAATATGTAGCCATATAAAGATTATTCCTAAAAAGTTACTTTGAATTCAGATATGCTCTAGAAAAAATAGCAACTGTGTAAAACTGAGTCTGTGTATTATAATATTTGTTTTAGATTCGTGCTTGAAGGTGAGGATTTTATTACTATGAAGGGCATGTAGTATGGAAGCTCATCTCTATGGAAACGCTATATAAGAAGCTAACTAGATAGTTCTGTAGTATGCTAGGAATAAACATATGAAACAGGTTTCCCCCTGTAATTTCAGAAATATACCTTCTTAAAATATGATACTTATTTAGATTCAGATATCCAGAAACAAATGTAATATTACAAAGGAACAAAACCAGTGACTATAAATGGTTTTAAGGTGGACCCTACTTAGAAGTTTCCAACATTTTTGCCCTTCTCTGTCCATATCTGTACATCCTTCTTCAACCTTCTCCCTTCTCACACGTGCTGGAGACCCTGCTGTTGCTGGTGCTGAGCCAGCCCCTCTCCTGGTCAGTCTCACGTTCAGCTATGCTGTATACCTGGAAAGCTGTGCACAGCTGCTACCGCTACCTGGTGCTCTGCACAGAGCCTGATGGGACAACATCTACAGCCCCGCTTCTGTTACCTGGCTACTTCTCACCTAGATCCTCACAGTGCATTTGATGATGTTTCAAAGGTATGCCATGAAGCTTTGTAGAGGCAACGCTACTAGACTGACAAATAGTGATGACTCTGTACATCACTGTATCAGCACTACGGGCGGGGAGGGGATGTAATGTCGAAACCACTGTCAGCTGAGCGCTACATTGAAGATTTAGATTTCACCATGTAAGAGGTTTACACTTTTTTTTAAAACATTTACTTATTTGTGTGTGTGCACAAATACAGGAGCTGGCTCTTTTCTTCCACTATATGGGCTCTGGGGATCAAACTCAGGTATCAGGCTTGGTAGCAAGCACCTGTATCCACTGAGTCAGATCGCTGGCCCTTGGTAAAACTTTTTTGTTGTAAAATATAGTAAACATTTACTTTCTAAAGTCAATGTAAAATGGTGTGAAATTAAGCTTTTAGTGTGGTTTGAATGTGAGTTGTTAGAATTATAAACTGCAATATTTACTCATATAAAACAGAACAGCCAGACAAGGCACAATTAAGAGAGGTATGACTAGAGGGACCTGCTGTCCTAGAGCTGGCAGGTGAGAACCACACATGGATCAGGCTTGTGCGATCATGTTTTAAACAAAAAAGTGTATGGAAAGCTGGAAGAAGACAGCACCTTCTGTTAGAATGTCAGGTCTTTCCAGGACTTCTTGGAACCATGATTCTCACATGACTAAAGTTCTACTGACTCCAATGGAAAAGACATATGCTAATAGGCATCAAACATAAAAAGCACAGTTACAATAATATAATTTAACACACTCCTAGCATACTAGACCCATGATTTCTGCACATTTCATGACTTACTGAGCAGTCTGCATGTCCTCCTAGTAACTAAACTGCTTTGGTTTGCATTTCTTCTCCCTCTTTAAAACATGCAGTTCATACACTTGACAGTTTTACTACCATAGTCGATGCACTCTGGACCGATGCACTCACAGCAGGCATTATGAAACCAGCGATATTTGGATGCTCCCATGGACTCACAGGATATCTTACACTGGTGTATGGACATGCAGTCATCAAAGTAAACCACAGTGCACATGTGCTCTGAAATAAAAACGGAGATCTCAGTTGAGACAAGAAGAGCTCTGCCACTCACTTGCAGTTACTTTCTACCTCTCTTATTGCTGATCAGCATGGGACAAAAAATGAGGGAAAAAAGATCTTCATTTGTTGACAGATGTTGACAGACTTTAGACAAAGGCAGCAAAGACATGAGGTTAGAATATCTGGTGTAACAAGCATCCACGAAGCAACATGACTGATTCCTAAACTGACATTTCCCCAAAGACATACTTCTCTAGTCCAAAGAAGATTGAAAAATACTGTCCTAAGGTCATATTAAGAATCTGTACTAAAGCAAGTAATTCAAATGTTGCAAAGTGATTACCAATACACTAGCAAGTACAAGATGTTACTAATGAGGCTTTCTAGGTCTGCTCTCCAACAGGACAGTCACATTTTTAACTTTGCAGGTTGTGAATCCCATGTGGCTGCCTAGCTAAGACATAATATAACATGAAATAAACTAAAGAGAATAAATCATTAACAGAGAGTGCAGTTATGGGTTTTCTTGAGGATGGAGAAGCATGTGCTGTTGTTCTGGACACAGGGTCTCTTGCTTATGCAGCCAAGACTGGTTCCTGCTTCAGCTTTCTGATCCTGGGATTACATGCATGTGGCACCTTGTCTGACTAAGTTGTTTTTATAGGGCAACTTAGAAAACTAATGAACAGAGGGAAGGGCTTAGTAAAAAAAAGGTTGTGTTATGAGGAATGACAAGCAAAGCTTCCAGGCACTGAAGGATGGAAGCCTTGGAGATGAGTACAGTATCCATGGGAATGGGGCAAAGGCTCAGGCACCGTGGCACAGGTATGTTTTCCCAACACTTGGATGGGGCAGAAGAATCATGAGTTCAAAGCTAACCTGGGCTACACAATGAATTCAAATATGGCTTCAAAACAGCTTCAAAGAAAGAAACAAAGGAAAAAGCAACTGGGCTGGTTCAGTGAGTAAAGCACTTGCCACATAAGCATTCTGTACTGAATTTGATCCTAGATCCACTCCACAAGGCTTTGCAGATGTGCTGTGGCACAGTGTCTGTCCCTTACCATGCACACACACACAGATAACAAGCAACCCTTGTGTTTTAGAAGTGAGTAAACCTGGGGCATGGCGAAGCACAGAGCAATGGGGCCAGAAGGACTGGCAACAAGCAAGTCACAACTAGAACCCACTAAATTCATTTCATCTAATGTTATCAATATGTATTTCCTGAAAACCTACTATGGGTTAGCCATTACAGACTCAAAGAGTACTCAGAGAGTCCAAGGAGCTAGGTAGAACAAGTAAATCTATCAGTTAAAAACAAACTGCAAACTGAGCTATATATAAATGCCAAGAGGGGGAAGAGGCACCAAGGAAAACTTTAGCTCTGTTTTGTGTTTCCAAAAACTGGTTTGAAAAGCTGTCATGATTTAAGAAACCTTTGAGCAAAACTTATGAATCAATATGTATCTATGATGCTCATTATATTTTGGTGTGAAAAAATAGAAACAAAGCATTTATCATGACATTTGCATATTTCCCGTGTTTCTGGAAGCCTAGCATTTGATTTGTAAAGCAACTTAGCCTGAAAGCAGGTAAGAAGTCATACTGTCATTTAACAAAAGCTGTTCTGCTTTTATTTTTAACATGCAAAGTTCTATTTTATACTGGTCAGATTATAATGAAGGGCACAAAAAAATAGCCAAATTATGAAAGGAGTTCAAATGACAGCATCTGTGCATAATTCATCAATGTTGTAAAACACAGCTGCAAGTCAGGTATAGGGTACAGCTGTAGTCCCATGTAGACCTGCAAGGAGGACTGCCACAAGTTCTAGGTCAGCCTGATCTGCATTTGGGATCTTATCTCAAAAACCTAAAACAAAAGCCACATCAATTATATTTTAATAAATATATTATTCTTCTACTATAAAACTGTATTGAAAAACATCGAAGACTTTATATCAACACTGTATACTGTTTATACTCCAAAACTATGACATGATCCATTCTCACTAGTAAGTGATCTTTGACACAATTACTCAGATCAGTAGAGATCATTCATTTGTCTCTTCTGTGATCACAATCATGTCCACTGACAACTGCCTGCATAGTCTATACCTAGAAATGAGATGTCTTATAAGATTTTAGCTGATGGGCAGCAAGTTGGCTGAGAAGGTAAAAGCTCTTCGCTGTACAAACCCAACCTGAGTTTGATTCCAGAATCCACAGTGGAGGGGCAGAACAGACAGAACCAAGTTGTCCTGTTACCTCCACAAATGTGATGGTGTGTGCCCACACTTGGAAGCACACTCAGACACAATAACAAAATAAAAACAAGTTAACCGATGATCTTGGCATCATATGCAAACACCAGACTTCATGGGGCACCATGACAGACATGTGACAGCAAACACATGTGCCATGTAATAAAAAATAGTTAAAAGTCTGACTCAAATAAACACCAGAACTAGGAAGTTCTTTTTTTTTTCCCCTCCGAGACAGGGTTTCTCTGTATAGTCCTGGCTGTCCTGGAACTCACTCTGTAGACCAGGCTGAACTCAGAAATCTGCCTGCCTCTGCCTCCCAAGTGCTGGAATTAAAGGCACGCGCCACCACCGCCCAGCAGAACTAGTAAGTTCTAAGCACAGGGACACCAGAGTGGAACAGGTACCTTTGTCGCTGGGAAAAGGGGTGTGAACATTGTTGCTGGGAACAGACACATTTTGGTGGTGTGGCTGGTTCACAGTTTCTAAAAAGGAGACTAGATTTTCATGGTGTGACAGCTCCTCTGCCACAGGGAAGGAGACGATGTTCCAGTTCAGCTGGGTGTCGCCCTCTGTCAGAGCCCTGAACAGGGAAGGGATGGGCTCGTGCAGCTCCTCCACTGTGCTCTTTGATGTGGGGGGTGTGTCGCTGTAATTCCGAGGGTTACACATACCTGGGGAAACAGAGGTCATACAAGTTTACTCTTCTCACGGATTATAGCATTGTGAGATTCTGCTAATTCCCTGGAATGAAAGCTCTGTATTAGCGCTGTGATTTTTTTAATGTCACATGTTGATGTTCTCACAGCCTTTTTACCCCTGAAAAGATAAAAAGTAATGAGAACCACCCACTGAGCAAACCAAGTTCCAAACTCCCCTCCACTAACAGAAACAAGGACAGCAAAGATTCCAAGGCTTTGGCAGCACAGATACGTAGGAATGCGCACGTGTGTGTGTGTGTGTGTGTGTGTGTGTGTGTGTAAGACATGGAATGTCAGCTTTCACCAACTCAATCAACAGTGTGAACATGAAAGCTGGGCCCAGGGCTTGGGATACAGCTCAGTTGCTAGAATGCTCTGCAAGCCCCAGTTTAAACCCCACCACTGTATAACCTGTGTGGTCCTGTACAACTGCAATCCCAAGGTGGTGGTCACCTCCACAGTCAGGATGCACAGAATGAACAGGAAGTGGGGCCAGGCTATAGAGCCCTAGGACTTGCCCAGTGTCCTACTTCTCCATCAAGGCTCCACGTCCTAAAGGTTCCACAGCACCCCCAGCTAACAGGACTGCCAGCTAACAGCACTGCCAGCTAACAGCACCGCCAGCTGGGACCAGGTGTTTAAACATGCAGGGAAAGGGGACAGTTCACATCGTAACTATAGCCCAAGGGTGATCTTCAACTCCTATCCCTATCTCTGTGTGCTGAGATTACAGTTGTGTAAGACACATCTGACTTTATGTGGTGCTGGGGATCCAGCCTATGACCTTGTGTATACCAAGTAGGTACTCCTTGTTATTACACTTTAAAAACAAAGTCATCCTTCACGCTTTAATATCTACTATGTCTAATATGGAGTTTCATGTCTTCCCTGGACTAAAAGTTTGCAAAGTTAAGCCAAAAATTATAAACTCTTTAAATTTATAAATTTAGGGATGAGAAATCTCTCTCTCTCTCTCTCTCTCTCTCTCTCTCTCTCTCTCTCTCCCTCCCTCCCTCCCTCCCTCCCTCCCTCCCTCCCTCCGTATGTGTGTGTGTGTATATGTGTGTGTGTTTATTTTTTACATATTCTTATAGAATTTGGCAAGAGCTGAGTAGAATAACATGTATCTTTCTCATAAAATTTAAGATATCTGAACTTAACAATTTAGATTAGATGGCAGCATCACAGATTATATGATCAAGTAAGAACATGTTACTCTCAGTGAGGAAGCACACCCAGATAAAGTCAATGTCTTGTCTGCTCTTACATAATCCAGGAACAGAGCCAGAACCATGACTCAGCCTACTCTCATGTTCACTGTCACAATTACCATAGGCTACAAGTAACCCAAGTGTAGCGGACAGCAAGGACTGCTCAGCAGACTGCTGTTCAACACACACAAGTATTCTGCCAGATTCTATGGTAAAAGGAACCAGTAACCAGAGAAGAAAGGGTGAATGCCAGAGTTCAAAGGTCAGACTTAAACTCCAGTGCTTATCATTAGAAGGTTCACTACACTACAGAAAATTCATTGTTGTGCATTTATAAACTTAGGCAAAAGGCCTGCAATTTACATAGTAACCATTAAAGCTAGGACGTGGAGAGGAACTGTGCAGGTAAGGAGCACAGAAGCTCCATCTTGGAAACACTGTGAAGAAAGAGTCGGGTGACAAAGGTCAGATTTTATTCTGAGAAGAGAAAGAGGTAGAAACAGTTAGGACCCACAAAGGTGACAAGACAACTAAAAGGCACAGACAGACAGAACTGACACTGGACAGTAAGGGACAGCTGGCAACTAGGGTGGGAAGGAGTGGAGCGGAAAGCCCATCATACTCTCTTAGGGCAGCTGGCTTCCTCCAATTTCTGGGGGACTGGAGACGGAGCCTGAGAGTGGAAAGGATGCAGGTCAATACTCAGAGGCACAGGGATCATGACAAGGAAAGGCTGTTTCTACCACAGGGTCACAGCTGCTCAACACAAGAGACTGAAACAGCTGAGATGACAAAGAACTGAATGTCTAATTCATAGGCCTGGCTAAAAAGCAGCCGTGTGTGGGAGCAGCAGTAACCTGATGAGAAGTCAAGCATGGAATGGAGAATTTCAAAATCCAAACCAAACCCAGCAAACATGGAAACAAAAACCTCATATAATCCCAATAAAAATACAGTAGAAAGTATCACCAACAAACCACTAAGTCAGACAAAAGAATAAATGTTAGGGATGGAGGTCAAGGACGACAAAATGTTGGGCATCAAAGTATCAATAAAGGAAAAAATACTGTTTACTGCTCCCCCTTGTGTGTGTGTGTGTGTGTGTGTGTGTGTGTGTGTGTGTGTGTGTGTGTTCTGAGACAGGGTCTCTATACAGTGCAGACTTACCTTGAATTCACCATGTGGCCCAAGCAGGCCTCAAATTTGTGGCTATCCTCCTGTCTCAATCTCCCAAGTGCTAGGATTACAGCATATGCTACTATGGTCAGTTGGAATGATATATTTCAAGTCCCAAGAGTAAGACTGTTAAATCCAGCAAGGTCATCTTTTAAAGTGGTGAAGAAATAAAACAGTGTAGGATAAGGATGAAAGCGGCTCATGACCACTAAGCTACTGTTATTTAAAGGAATTCTACATCCACTTTATTTTGGTACCGCCACCCACTCATCTCTGACAGACACCTATGCTCCATTCACATGAGCAAGTACTGCTTCAATAGCCTGACACACATGTACCTCTGTACTACGCTTAGGATTATTGGACACAAAACAAAGCTTCAACACTTCTTGAGGAAAATATTATGAGGCAAATATACTCTCAGCCTAGTGTTTGAGAGTCTGAAGGCCTAGTTTCACCTCACAGGAGAACTCAGAGCCCTTCCTCACTGCCTCAGCCAGGGCTGTCTGTCTCCCACATCCCCTGTGTGGCTGTTTTCTAGTAGTTTGTAACTGAACTTGAGTTAAATCTGTTACTTTTCTTCAATCTGTGTTTTTCTCTTTCCTTTTTTCCTATTTATGTTTCATTGGTCCTCTATTATAACTTTTATTTCTCTCTCCAATGCAGAATGTAAATTTCTTTTTAACAAGACATAAAGGCTGGGAGTGTTGGCACATACTTTTGATCCCAGCATTCAGAGGCAGAGGCAGGTGGATCTCTGTGAATTTCAAGCCAGCCTGGTCTACACAGCAAGTTCCAGGTCATTGTGGTCTACAGAGAGAGACTCTGTCTAATAAAAGACAAGGGGACAAAGGGACAATGTCAGGAGAGGACCAGTGGGAGTGGAGAGGGCAAGAGTGGATGCAGAGGTGGTAACTATGGTAATAGCACACTGCAACCATCTATGAAAACCTCATGATGGCGCTCTGCCCTTTGCTCATTTAACATACGGTGAGGAGAAAACTTAGTTCTTACAGGGTACAAACCAGTGCTCAGTGACTCAGTGATCCCAATGACTGTTGAGGGCGATGCAGGCTGTACTCCTGGGTTGTGCACCTGCCTGCCTTCTTCATCCCTCCCCTAACACTAGTTTCATACTTGTGAAAGCACAGGTTCCCACCTCAGTTTTCCAGGCTGTATACACCATCACACCAGGGTAATATTTTTTCTAAAATCTTCTAGAATCTTCTTTAACTTGAAATATATAAATTTTTGTAAAAGATTATCTACAGGTAAGTCTTTCTTAAAATCACTCAGCATTCTGTGGAATCTTTCAATTTGAAGAACCCCTCACCCCATCACTGGGGCATTTTCTTCTATTATTTTTGACTTTTAAAATTTATTTATTTTCATTATTTATTTATTTAGAGAGAGGTTTCTCTGTATAATAGTCCTGGGTGTTCTGGAACTTGCTTTGTAGACCAGGATGGCCTTGAACTCAGATCTGCCTGACTGCCTCCTGAGTGCTGGGATTAAACGTATGCTTCAACCATACCTGGCTGACTTTCCCCCCACCTCTCTATTTTAAATCTTTCTTTTCTTGAGCATCCTGTTATATCTCCCATCTGTTTGTTCTATAGTTCATGACATTCTAATATTTATTTTATCATTTTATATGTATGGGTATTTTACCTGCATTCATATCTGCAATATCTATGCACTGTGTGCATGCAATGTCAATGGAAGCCTGAAGAGGGCACTAGATCCCCAGGAACTGGAGTTACAGATGGCTGTGAGCCACCACATAGGTGCTAAGAACTGAACCTGGGTCCTTAAAGGGCTCTTAACCACTGAGCCATGTCCCCAGCCCCCAAATCCTGATATTAATTTCAATATTCAATATTGATCTCTTCTATTTAATATTTGTTCTAGTAATACTGAAACAAATGCTTTTTGTAATTGTTTTTTACAGTACAGATACATTTTCTCAAGAAAACAATCAGCTACAGATTTACCCTCTGTGTTGCTGGCATTTGCCCTGTTTTTGTGTCCAGTCCTTAGACTGGGGACACCTTTCCCTCTCTGGAGCGCCTGCATGATGAAGACCCAACTTTGACCCTAGTCTAGAGTTTCTTTCTCCCTGATGCACCCATTAAGCGGAACCTACAGAGCCTCTAAGGGTTTACATGGGATTATTCCACCATAATCATCTTTAATGGAAATTCTTAGAATTTGTTCCAATCTGTTTACAAAATAGCGATGATCTCTCTTTCACTTTAGATAGCTAATGAAAACCCAATTAAGCTTCCATCTTTTATTTCTCTTTATTGTTCAGTGTTTCCAATTATATCCAAACATTTGATTTTACTAGTGTTTTTTGTGCAAGGGTAGATGATAGGTAAATGTAGACTATCATGTTGAGCTGGAAGATGCATTTACTTAGGATGAACATTTATTTCATCAAACACCCACCTTGTATCTTTCCTAGATATTTGGACGTAGTTTCTTATATGGCATGTCCATCTAAGAACATAACAATGGCCTGGAGAGATGGCTCAGTGGTTAAGAGCACCAGCTGCTTTTCTAATGGACCTGGGTTTGATTCCT